TGGTAACATCTGCTGCTGTGGGGACAGGAAAGGGATGTGTTGCTGCCTTGTAGTCCTGCAGCCACCTCTCTGCAGCTGGTGGGCTGGGGGTCCACAGGCCACGGTCCCAGCAGCCAGACCTGGAAGCAGCAGAGGCTCCCAAGCAAGCCAGCTGGACATAACACACTCCAGCACCTCCAGCAGCTTCTTGGAGAGGAACCTGGGACACAGAGCTGTGATGCTGCAGCATCTCCAGCTTGCCCGTGCATCCAACAGCGTGTCTGCTTCTAATTGGTCCTAGTGTCTCTTTGCATTTCTGCTTGCAGAACGTCATTTTCTTCAGAAAACACTCTTTTGCAATTACTGTGAATTACACATGAAAAGCAAGTGACCACATATTGATTGGACCCCAGGAAAAGCACCAGAGCCATTTAGAGTAGATTAACTTTTTCTGGAAAATGCTTTCACAGTTATTTAAAGAGATTAATCAGTTCATTTCAGTTCATTTGCTATTGTTTCTATGGCCCAGCCTCCCCTCAGCCCATGGCCTGGAATATCCCCCTCTCAGCTGCAGGAAGACCTAAGGCCTTCCTGGGAGGTGTGCCAGGAGAAGGGCAGGAGCTTCATCTCACAGTGTGTGCCAGGGTGCTGCTCTCAGGGCTCCCAGGCAGGTGCTGCACCTCAGCATGCACAGGGAGAGGACGAGTGTGCTGGGAGGAGTGAACAGGCAGCCCCTGAGCAGGCAGGGCTGGCAGCAGCTGCAGGAGCTGAACCACCAGCGCGAGCAGCGCCCGGGTGCGACGCTCGGGCTGAGGGGCCTTGCAGAGCTGCAGGGGGGGAGTTCTGGAGAAAGCTGGACACAGAGGGTGCAGGTCTCTGCCACAGAGCCAGGGGTGGCCCGAGCCCATCCCACCCTCCTCTGCCCACGGCGATGCCGGTGTCGTGGCCACCCAGCCCCCGGCAGTCAGCACTGGCTGCAACAGTTCAAAGCAGTTTTTTTCTTTGGGAGGGAAGTACAGAAGTCAAATGGCTCCTGTGGTGGAATACTTTCCAAATGTCAACACAATCTGTGCTACATTACAGCTAAATGTGATAATCTTAACGCCTGGCTTCTTAATGTCAGTGGCACTGAAGTCTGATGGATTGACAGACAGCCAGAATGACACGCAGTCATAGCTGATAAGGGCTCTCTCCAGGGAAATCACAGCTTTTTAAAGATGTTGGCAGCTACTAGCAAGTACCGTTTTATTTAAAAGGATTACAAGCATTGATTGCACTTCCTGTTTTTTGGTGGTTTTTTTTATCACATTGCTGAACCAAGTGACACTTGTGCTGTGAGCTGAGCCTTTCAGACAATTATTCTGGAATAATGAAGGTGTGTCATGTCGGCTGTAATGAGTATTTTCAATGCCTAATTTATGTACAATGTGAAGGAATTTCAACAGCTGCCTGGTTCCTGGCTAAAGGTGAGTGACTCCTGACCATGGAGGAAGCTGCTGCAGGCTGACTCAGCTGGGGATGAGTCGGGGTGGATGGTTCCTGTTAGCAACACGTGCTTCCCTCAGCAGAACACAGATTAAAACATTTCCAATTACTGTGGTTAAAACACCAGGCAAGGGGACATATTTGGCTAAGCAATGGCTGGTGCCCACTCCCCCAGCAAAGAGCTGGACCAGCCCATGCTCACCTGAGCAGCTCCTCTGCAGCAGCGATAGAGACAGATGAAAAACTTGTGTCCATGAAACTTCATCACAGCTGGACAGGGCAGCTAACAACCCATGAGCCACAGTCCACCTGTGCTGGATCCAGCCTTGCAAAGCCCAAGGTCTTTAAGAATTTGAAGAACAGTCATCACATCCACTCTCCTCTGGACAATGAGGCCAGCAGAAAGCCCAGGCTGAGGTGTGTGAGCCAGCCCAGCTGCTCACACTGCAGCAGTGTCCATGGAAGCAGTCCTGGCAGGCAGCAGCAGTGCTTACACTCCACCCCACTGCTCCACCATGCTCAGCAAGGTGAGGGAGAGGTCCCAGCCCCACCGTCTGACTGCCCAGGAGGAAGATTCCAGGGCCAAGTAAAATTAAATTATTTTGTTTCTCTCCACCTTCTCTGACTGTGGCAACAGGTAGTGCAACAGCTGCCTGGGAACTCAGCTCCCATCCCTGCCAGTGAGTGGGGAGGAACCTGTTGCTGCAGGGCACAAGCCTGGGTCACCTCAAGGATGCTGGAAACACTCCTGGGATGGGAGGTAGCAGAGCCACAGCAAGGAGAGAGCACAAACTAGAGCACCACAGCACAGCAAGAAACCCCAACAAGACAAAGCAGCCTTTGCCATGAGCACAAAGAACAGAGATGCAAAATTGAGATTAAGCTAAGCAGTGAGAGACTGATACCAAACCTAAAGAAAGCTCAAGGGTTTGGTAAACAAATGGATACAGGGAGCTGTGATACTAGCTGTGACAATGATGGTTAAAGGAGTCAGCTTTCTGGTGAGAGGGCAGCTTCCTCAAAGGATATGGGGGTAAACCGATCACCTTCGTGAGCAGCATAATACAAATCCAAGTGGGAGGCAGAGGCTTAGAAGGCCTTGCTTGCACTAAGTTACTAGAGATGTATTTTTCTCCTGGGGGTGCAGATATCACTGCCCTTTTATAATTTCCCGTTAATGATCCCAGCAGATCACATCCATCTTTTGTAAATAACTCTCTTGGACACCTTGCCTTCTGGAGCTCAGGGCGGCTCAGAGGGAGGCACTGGAGGCGACTGATGCCGGGAGCAGAGCTGCCTCATCCAGCTGCTGGGGCACCAGCCTTGCAGGGCTTCTTCATCATGTGACAGTGGCAAATGCCACTGTCCCCCACCAGCAGATGGTCACAGGCTGCATCCTGTGCAATGGGGGTGGTGAAGGAGCAACCTGTGCTCAGGTGCCAGGAGCCCAGCGCAAGGACACGGAGCGCGGCAGGAGGGACCGACCAGGAGCAGCTGCTCTTGGGCAGCAACACCAACAATGTGGCACCAGCGGAGCTGCCACGCTCAGCTCCTGCAAAGCAGCTGCCTGCAGCAGCCTTCCCACAGGCAAAGACCCACCCGAGGCCACAGGCACAGCTTGGGCAGGGTCCCGCTGCCCCCAGCCCCTCCCACGCTCACGGCACCCGCTCCTCACCACCCTGATCGGCTCTGCCCAGCACTGGCCCGTCCTCTGCACCTGCTGCCCTGCCCACCCATGAGGGTGCCCGGAACGGTTGGGAGCCCTTGGCCCCTGGCACTGCTGGCTCCACAGACCCGGGGCTGCCTCTGATGAAATACAACTGACCTGGAAGAAGCGTCTTCATCCCCCAGACACCAGGAGAGGAGTCCCTGGGTTTGCCCAGCTGGCCAGCTCAACCCCCGGGTCCAAGACAGTCCTGGCACTGGCCACCAGCCTGCAGAGCAGAACTGGCTTCCTCTTCTGCACGAGTAAAGTGGAGACCAGCCTGTCCTTCCCTGCAAGGAGCCAGAGACTGCTGTGCAACTGCTGAAGATAGAGGAGTTGCTATAGAAAAATTGCCTCAAAGGGGGCTGTGTTGAGGGGACATGGAGCTCTTAAAACATCTTCACAGATGCTTCTGCAATCAGAGCTCTCAACAATCCTCCTTAAGGGTCTGGTTCTGGATAGCAATTTGTTGCTTTGAGCTCTCTCCATTCCTCCACAGTATCAAGAAGCACATCTTTCTGCACAGCCTAGGCTCATCACACTTGATACCAGGCACTTGTAACCTCCTTCGTTAGCAGCACACAAACTGCAGGTGCTCCCTCTGGCAACGGGGAGTTCCCAGGACAATGCAGCCCACCTGGTCCCCAGTCCCAAGTTTTAATCATGATACTTGCTTGGCTGCCTGAAGTGGGAGAGCAGGATTCAAAGGGAGCACATCTCTATACTGGCTGCAGCTGGGACACTACAGCTCTTGTTGCTAAGGTCCTGAGTGAGAAACTTGGGGTGCAAACACACAGCAGCCACCAGCAGCTCTCTGCCAACAGCAGCTGGCAGAGCTGTGGGGACACTGCTGACACACTGGCTGCGTGTGGGCACTTAGCCACGATGCTTGCACAAAGGCCTCAAGGCTGGCAGCCAGAGCGGCACTCGCTGCAAGGGTGAAAAGCAAAGCAGTGTGTACACAGAGGCCTGGCAGCACAGCTTTCACATCTGAAAAACCCTCCAGCCTCAAGACTCCTCCCTTCTCTTACAGCATCCCACTAGCTGCTGTCATCAAAGGTCACCAGATGCTTCTTCCATAACATTTAGTGAATAACCAAGGGAGCAGGATGGGAGGCACAGGGATGGTGAAGGATATGGAAATGCTAAAGACCTCAGGGATCAGTAAGACTGTTTCAGAGCAAGGACTGCAAGATGCTATTTAAATGACTGTCACTTTATGGAGGGGTTCAAGTTCTGCCTGTGGTACCTTCTGACCTATACTGATGCTACCACAGATTTAGTGCCCATCCCTGTGCCACATCCAGCCTGTGCCACATGCCACCACCACGGGTTTGATGATGCTTCCTGGGCCCAGGGAGCTTCATGCCTGTTTGCCACTATTAAGTTGATTGTTCCTTAGTCACTTGCCACCAAGAAAATCACCAACAATTGATTTATCTATGGTCAGGCTACAGTGTCATTTACTTGCATAATTTCCATATTAAAACTGAGTACGAAGGATTTATTTCTGCAGCCAGTGACTGACACTGCTGTGGTACATACCACTACCAGCATGAGAATAGGTCATGGTAACAAAACCTGTTGACAATGCTCAGTTGTACCAGAGCTGGGAAGAAGGACATGACCAGAACCTGTGTTTGTGAGTGATCAGTTGGTCACCTATGAGCACGGCTGTGACTTCAAGAGAACAACACTGAAGATGCACTTTTTAAAGAACATTAAGGAACTCTGTTGGCTGAGAAAGGAAAATAATGAGGATGATAATCAGACTTCCTTTTGCCTCTTGGCATTAAATCTGCCTCTTGTTCTTCCTGCCGTTGCTCTGCAGGATGAAGGAAAATGACCTCCTGGTGAGACAAGCTGCTGCTCTGGGGATGGAGCTTCTGGGGCCCTGCAGAGGAGCCTGGCAGCTCAGAGCCCAGACCCAGCACTGGGGTGGGTCCTGCTGGGAGCAAACACAGCACCACGCACCCAGAACCTCGTGTCACGCAAAGCACAACCTGACTTTCTTCTCCCAGAGAGATGGAAAAAGCCAAGGACGTGTTTTTCATAATCTCATTCAAATTCAGACAGATTGGGCACATGCTGAGGGAGGCAGGCAGTTGGGGTGCTGGGTCCCAGCAGGGAACACGCGGGCTGTGGGGGCTGCCTGCCCTGGGAAGGTGCTGATCTGACCCCACCAGCAGCACAAGGCGAGGAAACAAAACACAACGGAACAAGCAAACACGCAGGCTAGACCACAAGGAATCCAGGTCCTAGAAAGACCTTGAAAAAATAACAAGGGTAAGGAAATCAACCTCCTGATTTATTTGGGTAGAGAAAGAAAACCGAAGTGACCACCAGACAGCGCGGCAGGTGCCAGCTCCTCCTGCGCGCGGGGCAGGGGGGGACGTGAGCGAGCACGTGCGCTGGGGAGGTGAGGAGGGCGAGGGTGCTAAACACATACCCTGTCAGACCCCATCTCCTACGGACAGAGCCCTGCTATTGCACAACACTTTTGCTAGAGGAAGAGTCAGCTCCAGAGGGGCTCGGGCACAGCTCTTCAGCCCCGAGGGAAAACACAAACACGTTCCTGAGGAAAGAGAGGGCTTTTTCCATGCTCCTGCTCCGGGGCAGCCCCTGCCCGAGCCCACGTGCCCAGAGCCAGCACTGCAGAGCCAGCATGAAGCAGCCACTTGGCCCCATGGCCTCCTCAGCATCATCACAGTGAACCAGCAGCACAGCGGGCACTTGCTGCCTCCCTGAGGGGCCTGGAGAGACCCTGAGCAGGGAGCAGCTCCCCAAGCTGCAGCTCCCGCATGGGCTGACCTGGTGGCCACGGGCAGGAGGGACCACAGGCAGGAGTCATGGCAAAGACACATCCTACCCCTCTCCACTGTCAGGTCGCTGCAGCCAAAGGACCAACACCAGCAGCCAGGGAGCAAAACACAGTAAAAAATGGACAAACATATACATTTACAGTCAAACCACCAGGGAGAAAAAACACTGTGACTAAACTAAAAGGACAAACCCAGTGAGAAGTCCAGGATGTGTCAGACCTTGGGAGACCTTATCAGTTACCTATCAATGATATAACTGGTTTTTTTCCCAACATGCACAGATAAGGAGCTGCACTCCCCAGCACAGCCTGAGCAGCTGCCTGTGCGTGCTGCTCAATGCACTGCTCAGCTTATCCTGAGGGGATCTGGGAGGCTGGGAAGGTGCAGGGCACTGAGCACATTTCTCCAGCATCACCTGCAGCCCAGGAAGCGATGGCACATCCTGCAGGTCCTGTCCTGACCTGCCCCCTGACACCAGAGTTTGTGCAAAGGCAGCCCCACTGCAGGAGCTCAGCTTGGTTTCTTGCAGGGCGTTGTGCTGGGTGGGGACACCCCAGGTACCCCGAGATGCCACAGACCTGCTGCCCAGCTTGCAGCAACCAGCTTGGCTGTGCAGCAGTGCCACCAAGATTTGGCCTCATGCACATGTCCTGGGGACGGCTTTTCTGTCACCGATGGTGATGCTTTGCTTTCAGCAGGGTTTAAGCAGGAATTATTCCTCCAAACAAAAGGGCTGGGGTCCTCGAGCTGGGACACAGCTCTCCCCCACCACTGCAGGCCAGGGTGCCTCAAGGTCCTGCCCTCTGCAGCCCCCACCTTTTGGTAGGAAGCTGGTGCTTGGGTGAGGCCCTGCAGAGCCAGGCCTAGTCTGCCCTGAGGGCAGAGCCCACCCAGAGCCCCCCCAAGGCACTGCCCAGCACCAGGGCTGCTCTGTGGCTTGGGCCACAGCACAGTGCCAGGGCAATAGGAGGAATGTCCTGTCCATCCCCAAGGCCATGGGGCACATCAGGACCTCGCAGGCAACATCCACTGTGCAGGGAGGGAGAGAGCCCCTTCAAATCATGAGCATCTTTGATAACCATGAGGAAGATCTAAGAGCTGAGAGGCGAGGCAGTTGCAGCTTAGGGACGAGGTGTGTTCTGCAGTGAACTCTGGTGCAGCAGTCCCTCTGTGCAGGACGTCACCCTGGAGCCCACACACCCGACCAGGAGCCCGCACAGAGAGGAGGACTCCAAAAAGCAAACAAACATAAGAGGGAAAAAGCTGAACGAAGTTAAAGGCTTGTTTCCCTCTGCAAGGAAAAGCTCTTAGAGAAACCAAAGCACTTCAAATGCTCTGACTCAAGTGACAAAAACAATTTAGACAACAAAAGGCTCCCGGTTTGCTCTTCTCCTGAACTGGGCTAGCAGCACAGATCTATTTAAATGATAATTTGTGGGGGAAAACTCCCCCTCCCCAAACTCTCTTTAATTAGATTTTCTCTTTCTTAATGCCTAGTGCTTTATTGGAGACTCATACTAAGGAGATGAGGATGGCCACATCCTGGCTCCTTTGGGCACTCCAGCCTGGCCCTGCGGCTGGAGGCTCCCCAGCAAGGAGCAGCTGAGCAGAAGCACATCGCTGGTGCTCCCCAGCCCCACAGCACAGTGTCCAGCAGCTGCCGAGCTCAGCTGGAGGCACACACTGTCCCTGCATGGCACCTCGTGGCAGAGCCCCACTGCAGGAGGTGCCAGGAGCCCGGCCAGGCTTGGTGGGACAGCTCTTCTACGACTCCTCACTGTCCTCCTCACCCCTGCGCCCGGCATAGAGTGCTGCCAGCTGCCGAAAACGCGGCCCCCAGGCCCCCAGGTAGGAGAAGTCCTGCTCCGAGCCACTGGACCAGGTGTTGATGGAGCTCAGGGAGGGCACGGGGGAGCCTGAGCCCTCAAAGGCGTAGGTCTGGAATGAGTCATAGGGTGGCACGGAGAGGTCCTCATCTGCCTGCTCCACCTTCCTGCAGATATAGTCTCTGAACATGGAGAAGTCCAGGTCTGGGCTCTGCACCCATTGCGGGAGGGTGTGGAGCTCGGAGGCCGGGTTTCCACTCGGGCCCCCCTCTCCCAGCCCCCCACCTCCATCTCCACCCTTGATCTCACTGAAGTCATAGAGGCTGCGGAGGGCTGACATGTCGTAGGCCTCTGTGTCCTGCTCACCACCCCCTTCGTCATTGTATTTGATGACATTGTCTCTCATGTCCTCATCATCCTCGGCTGTGAGGTGGCTTTTGTGGTGTCGCTTCAGGGTGAGGATCAGAAGGACCAGCACTGGGAAAGGAAGAGAGGGTCAGGTAGTGCAGGAGCTTGTGCAAGGTGGGCTCCCATGGGGGCAGGGACGCCCGTGCTCGGCAGCCGGCGCAGCTGCAGCACAAGGAGCCCCGTGGCCAAGGCTCACCAAGGAGCAGCTGTGCTGTGTCACTGGCTGGGAGACATTTGCAGGGGCTCCAGTGTGGGTCAGGAGATTCCTTTCCCATGCATCATAGTGGCAGAGACAGGAGGGACAGATGGATGGACGTTCAGCTGGACAAACAGATGGATTCTGTGGAAGATGAGTAGGAAATGGGGGTGCATGAATCACAGCAGCAACAAAATGTTGGGAGAGTGAATGTGGAGCAGATGGCACAGAGCCCGAGCAATGAGCCACAGATGTGTCCCGGATCATCATCCATTCATCCCATCACCTTTAAAGCACCAATGTGCACTTTATTCAGCTGGGCAATTAGGCAGAAATTTGTTTGCATTGCATTGGAAAATGAAACCAGTGTAAAGTGCACCCTGTGGGAAAGGGTTTCTAAATGGAGGCACAGCAGGAGACAGGGAGCAGAGACATGCCAAGAACAGGAGACCTCACTGAACAATGCACTGGCTTTTGCAGATGTCCAGTCAGCCCTCAGGAGCCAGTACTGATGCTGGAAGGCTTTCATAACCAGCATCCATCAACTGCCCCACGATAAACTGGAGGGCACTGCAACACTGCTCTCTTGGAGCACCTTCCCACAGGCACACAAGCCTACACCTCTCCTGCACCTTCACACCATGCCGTGGTGGCCCAGCACAGGCTTGTGCCAGCCTGCCAGGGGGGCCAGCAGCATTTCAAGGGCACAGGTCCTGACCTGGGCAACGCTCTAGTCTGCAGGCACCCCAGCCAGGCTTCCCGCCCCCCATGCTGCAGCCCCCAGCAAGGAGACAGCTGCCCACAGCAACTGCCTGTATGATGTGGGTGGAGAGAATACGGGACAAGTCAAGAGACCAGAGGACAGGAGGACACTCACCGACCAGGATGAGGATGCAGACCAGCAGCGCGATGAGGGCGCCAGGGCTCAGCGTGGCTGACACCACGAAGGCTGTGCTGTTGCAGGACTGGATGGCCCCGCTGCTGTCGCAGCCGCAGACGCGGATGGTCAGTGTCCCGGTGCTGCTGAGGGCCGGGGGGCCGCTGTCCACCACCAGAATGGGGAGCAAGTACACATCCTGCTCCTGCCGGTTGAAGCCCATTCTCTGGGTGTGCACCGCAGCAGTGTTGTCTGCAGGGAACAAGGAAAGCCGCAGCAAAGTCACTCCCTGGCACAGCCAGCGGGACTTTGCATGAGCTCCACACTTGAGAGGAGCACTCAGGGGCTACCACTCGCACAGCAGCTGCTCGTGTGCCAACTCCAGCAACCACCCAAAGAGGGACAGGGCCCCCCCTCCTCCCTAGCACAGGAAGCAAGCTTGTGGCTCCCCTGCACCACAGACCCTTGGCAGCCCGTGGGGTTGTGCCTGGAGGTGGCCAGCTCTGCTCCAGCACTTGCCCTTTCACCGGGCTCCCTGGGGCCAGCCTGGCATCTCACTGCAGGAAGAAGGACAAAAACCTGTTGCTGACATGGAGACCCCTCCTGATCCAACCTGGCTGACTCAATACAGAGCAGATGGGGGTGTGCTGATGGCAATAAACCTGCAAGAGCAGTTACTTCTTCCAACCCAAAAGCCACAGGTGAAGTGTCCTCCCTCAGTGGGAGGGCCAAATACCCCAAGATCCCTTCTAAGTTCTGAAGGAGCAGGCAGAGCTCCTTCCTAGACTCCCAGCTGCCTTCCCCTCCATCTGCTCAAAGCCAGCTGTTTCAGGGGCTCAGCCAGCACAGCACACCCCACTCCAATCCCACTGACACGACCACTTGATGGGCCACCCAGGGCTCCGCACCAGAGGTGCACCCAAACAGCAGCTGCCCACAGACAGCACAGAGCAGGGACTGAAATCCAGCCTGGCTCCTGCTCACGTGTGCTGCTTGCTGCCAGCCAGCTGCTGAGCGGGCAGGAAGGGATTGAATAGTCACTGAACAACTGTGGCCAGATGTCAGAAGTTGCTGCTGACTGTCCGCAGTCTTTATCTAATAAAACACAGATTGGCCCACTCACAGCAAGGTGCTGCTGTCTACAGACTCTCTCCTCATTGCACCTGATTTATGCTGGACTGGCCCCTTTCTATATCAATCAGCTCATCGATCGGAAAAGACATCTATTCTAATTCTGGCTCTTGGGCTGCTTGCCACCATGGAAATTGCTGTATGGATTGGGTGCTGCATGGAAGCATGTGGAGCACTGTGGGGATGGGAGGAAAGCCAAGAGCAGAGCAGAGGGGCAGGCACATGCCAAGTCATGGGACAGGTGGGATCCACTAGCCAGGAGAAAGCAGGGCAGACCCAGAGATCCAGTGCATCAGCCGGCACAGAGCAGAGCACAGAGCCCATCTGCCCCACAGCTGCTCAGGGGCAATGAAGTATGGACAGAGGCACAAATGACCAGCCCACAGGACTGCTGCAACTCACCCAGCATCAGCCAAGCAAGGTCTCTGCTTCACTGCAGTCAGAAGGAGCAGCTGGGGCAGCCTCAGGTGTGTGCTGGAGCCCAGCATAGCTCAGTGCAGCAGGAGCAAGGATTGCAGGCTGTCAGTACTGTCTGTGCCCAAGGGGGAGGCAGCAGTGCTGGGGCTTGTGCCAAATACCAGATTGCTGCTTCCTATCATCAGGTTCCTTGACTCAGCTCACCACAGCTTTTTGTGTGGCCATAATATGGCTGTGTCGCTGGGGAGACCAGAGCTTTTGGCACCCTGGCTGGGGAGAGCTGAGAATCCAGTGTAAAGGAGACAGGGAGAGCTCAAGCGCTTTCAGGTTGCCTGAGAGCACAGGTCTGGCTTGAGGAGCTTAATGCAAGAGAGGCAAGGCCACCGGAAAGGAGACCACACCAATCAACATTTGGAGGCTGCCCTGAATGCCACTAGGGTGGTACACAAAACCAGATCTTATTAACTCACACAGTACTGTGCTGCAGATCACTAGAAAAACTTGTCCTTTGGATGTAGCATCTTTTATCCATTAAGGGAATCTTCCAGGTAACCTCACTCATCCCTGCTTGCAGCTGCAGATTTCATGCAGGCAACATCCTCAGGAGCACAGAGCAGAAGACAGCAGTTAAGACCAATGGTTGTTTGAGTCAATCCAGGGGCAGTTTGGCTCAGAAGGGAGATCTCACCTGCAAGGCTGCAGGGCCCCCAGCACCCTCACGCTTCCTCAGGCCAGTGTGATCCAAGTGCTGCAGTGTCCCCAGCCCACGGAGGGTACACACAGCCCATGGAGGGGACCCACAGCCCACTACCATCTTTCTGCACCACATGTGTCACCTGGCTTCTTTGTATGTGAGCAAGGACCACCAACCCTGTACCTTGGCAGCCGCCAGGTCCTGAAGGACATCTGCCGTCCTGGCAGAAACTCTGGGAACAGGGTTGCTCCAGCCTCCTGGGTGCCAGGGAGCAGGCTGCTGAGAAGCTGCCTACAGTTTACCAAGGATGAGCGAGGAAAAAAATTGTTATGCTAATCATTTGCACAAAGGTAACAAGAGCTCATTTGGTGCTGCCGCCTCAGCCTGCTGCAGCACGACAGGGAGGTATAAATAGCACCAATGGTACCATCTCATCCAGAGGCCAAGTCTAACTCCTAGCTAACCCAGCCAAATATAAGCTTCAGGCATCTGAATCTAGTGGAGATGAAGCCCCAGGACAAATGGCCCAGACCCACTGGCTGTGAGCAAGGAGGGCTCTGGCCCTTGTCCAGGAAGGTTGCCTTCCCTGGCACCATCACACCAGCCGAGCAGCCAGCCTGAGCTTGTGGTTGGATCCTGGCTCAGAGGACCCAGTGCGTGCAGTCCTGCACCTCCACGTGCTGCTCAGCCTGTCTCTCACCCAGGTCGAAGGAAAGGCTGTGTTGAGGAGTTCTCCCAGGGCCAGTGCCCCTGAGTGCTGCACTAGCTCCTCACCTCTCTGGAAATGCAGCCGAAGGCTGGAAACTCCCCTCCTATTTACAGCCAGTTCCAGCCTCTCTTAGGGAGGAGGACCTGCCACACTGTTTTTTTAGAAACAGTCTCTAGAAACCAAGGGGAAATACATGTGCAAGTCACAGAGAGGCAGCCACAAACCCCAGCTCAGCTGAGACTGCTCAGACAGGGCACAGCAACACTGAGCCCCTCACCTCTGAGTACAGAAAGAAGAAATATTTTCACTGCTGAATCCACAAGGTTAAAATAAAGTAATCAGTACTTAAATTTATTAGTAGCACAACAGACAGCTTTGCTGTGAAAAACCTCAGCTCAATGTAATCCAAAACTCAGTGCTGGGGGGAGAGACAAAAATTACAACTACAAAAAACTATTTCAAATACCATGAAACACCATCTTCTCTCTTCAAGAGGGTGACATGAGCATTTCTACAGGAAGGGGATCCACAGAAATTTCTCATCTACACCTAAGACATTGCTCACCAGGCAGGTACAGCTGGTAGAAGAAGAATCTGATTTTTCCCTTTTGCTCTTCCCTTTCCCCAGTTCCTGGGTGCCAGGTCACAGCACCATCGCTCAGCCCTGCAGAGATCTGATGCTCTTCTCCTTGTCAGATCAGCATCTGCACTGCTCATGCTGAGAACAGCATCCATGCAGGGTTGGAGGAGGCTTCCTCTGTCCTGAGGCAATCTGCAAATCCTAACATTTTGCTTTTGATTGTTACGATTTTCAGATCTTCTATTACCCATTACATGCTCTTAATGAGACCTGCAGAGAGTTCAGACATCTGCTTGTCTAGCCCTTGAGCTCTGGAGTCAGTAGCTCCATGTGTCGCTCCATATTATCTAGCACCCCTTCCAGGTTACTGGGCTTGGATGCTTTCTACCATCCCTCCCAACACAATTAGAGCTTCTCAGATAACATAATTTCAGGCTTTAATTACCTTTGATCCTTCTGTAATATTTTTTTTCAGGCCAGAAAGATGGAGCAAAAGGCCAAGTTAGAAGGCAGAGGATGGTGGATGCCTTTGGAATGGCACCAATTGGACATGGGTGAGGTCAGCTTTTCCAATTCTAACTCTTCTTTTAGGCATCTCATTTGCTGGGCACCTTCCTTCTGGATCAGGGCTGTCATTACCACACATGACGTTTGTTCCTTGTCTGATGAATCAGGAAGTGCCTGAGCACTGCCTTGGACAGAGCAAAAGCAAGGAAAGAGACACCAGCAGGATTTGGGGCTGCTGCTAAAAGCCCGACACACGCAAACTCAGCTAACACAAGGTCTCCTGTAGGGTCACCTTTTGCTCCTGTACCTCTGACCAGGAGCATCCAGAGGCAGCTCGACGTGCTGCTGGGAGGTGCAGGGCTGCAGGTGTCACCTCTGGCCGCCCTGGGGCCTGACCCCGCAGCAGGGGCAGCACTGGGGCAGTGCAGGCTGCAGGGGACCTGTCCTGGGACCACTGCCATGCAGCCCCTGCCAGCAGGTACTCCACAAGCTCTCCATCTGGACAGGCTGCCCCATCCATTGCCCTGGGCCTTCCCCAGATCCCTCACGGGTTTCCCCCAGGCAGCCCATGGGAGCACCAGAAGAGCCTGGGCAGGGCTCAGCATCCTTTCCTGCCCCGCTGGCTCTGCTTCCCCCTGTGCAAGGGAAGCTCTGCACTTCAACATTTAACCTGCTCTCACTCCTGCTTTTCCAGCCTCCCGCAGGGTCAGTTTTACCAACAAGGTGCCTGCCTGAGCTGCTGTCCCTCCACTGCACCTGCCCACAGCCCCCACACAGCTCGGGGCCTCAGGCACCTCTCGGCTGTTTGCAGTGAACTTGCTGCTGGCGTGGCCACCCATGCTCCTCACACACCAGCCCTGCCATGGCTGGGTGCTCTTGTCCTACCTGACAAACTGCCACAGGGAGCATGTCTGAGGAGATGCTGGTCCCTGTCATGCTGAGGACAAGCCACCCTTCTGAGGTACCTTTCTGCTGCCTTGCAGGAATTGAGGGAAGTAGGTGCAAAGTGAAATAGAAGAGGGATTTAAGCAAGAGCTTAGAGAATCCATCTGTGCTGACATCCATCAGTGTCACTCCCTGGCTGCAAAAGCAATATTTATAAATCACGTTTCAAAACCGGCTACAAATTTGTACAAAGAAACAGATGGGCTGGTGGTAGCAGTTTGTCACCACTGATATTTATATGGAGGAGTAGAGACAAGTGCAAGAGTAGTGAAAGCACGAGAGGGGGCCAAGGAGGGAGACAAAGGAGGATGCATCAAGGGAACCCACAAGAGCAGAAGGTGAAGGTGAGTGCAACCAGGGTGATCAGTGGACAGGAGAAAAGGAGGGAGAGAGCAATCAAAGGAAGGGAGATGACACTAAAACACACCCACATTAGATATGAGGGGTGCCTCCATCTGCACAGGCAGCCGCCTCTTCTTGCTGTAGAAGACAGCATTGCTTGGCAATTGGGAGAGACTCCAAACACCCTGGGAATAACCCTGCAGCAACAGCATTTGTTTTCCTGAGAACAGAAGGCAGAAGGCGATGCCAGCTTTTACTCATTTTATGCAGTGTTGCACCACATGCAAAGTTTGTGAGATCATTTAGCACAAAGGAGTACCCAGTGCAACACGAGCCTCATCCCACTCAAGAGAGCAGCAGCTCAGGAGGCAACGGTGGCACCAGCCAGAGTCCTGCACCAAGGGCTGCTGGGGACCCGCAGCTGCATGACAAGGCAGCCCCTCCTCAGCTGCAGCCACCCCCAGGTCCCACAGGCAGGAGGAGCAGCAGGGAGAGCCCCGGCCCCTCGGGGCTTCGGGAGGGTCTGGGCAGGGACAGACACTGCAGTACAACTCAGGGCACTCAAATATGTTCTCATAAATTCCTTCAGAGAAAGTGAAAAGGAAGTTAATCACTGGGTGTGGGGCAAAATCTAGCAGAGGATTAAAGCTTGACTACACGATAAGAAAGGTCTTGTGAACAGCTGCCCCATGAGTGCAGGGGGAGGGACTCGGGTCAGGGCAGCTGTGCTTTTTAGGACAGAAAGCAATGTTGGTCCTTCTACAGTTACATCTGAAGCTCTTTGCTGTAAGTCTCACTTTGACTATCCCTAAATGCTGAATCAAATGAAGCAAGATCTTACATCAGCAAAAAGTTCCTTTGATAAGCTCAGAACAAACTAAACCAGACTTTTGACAGATGAAGCTGCAAAAACAGAGAAAAAGTTAAAAAAAAATAATAAAATCCCCCAAATAAAGAAGCATTTCAATGTGGTCTGCTGGCTTCCATCTGGGCTCACCCCTCTGATAAGTAAGTGCACATCTGGCTGGAAAAGGGTCCCTGCTGTTCTTACTGCTTCAACCAGCACGTAGACTTACCCAAAACACCAGTTAAAAATAGGCAGGTGCCTGGTAACTACCTTTCTGGATTGTTACTGTCCACACAAATGCAGCCCAAATTCCACTCCCAAACCCAAACGGCAGCCAAGGCTCAGCCAGCAAAACCCGCGTCTCACCCCATCGGGCACAGCAGCAGGCGGAGCCGCTCGGCCCAGGGAGCCCAGAGCTTCCCGGAGGAGACAAGCCCTGCCTGGCTGCATTTCCTAAAGGACAGGATGAGACTCAGGAAACAGAGGAGCCACGCTCCTGAGCCACCACCTCAGGGAATCTGGCTGTACCAGCTGCTTCCCCGGGCAGCCAGGAGGGCTCAGGCTGGCTCTGCACACCCGCTGCCCCAGGGCTCCTGAGCTGCTCCCGTGTGTCGGGGCACCAGGGCTGCCCACCCACACGGCAGCCCCGGGATGACACACACTCCAGGATTTTCCTTAGAGAGGAATATATCATAATGCTCAAAACACCAGCACACCATGATCTGTAAATCCCCACCAGCCCCTTGCCTGCAGGCACGCTGGAGGTTTTGAATCCAGAAAGGGACTGAGAGCCCTGAAAACAGCGAAGGCTAACAAGATAGCATAAGAGGAGCTTTGGGCTCTGCAGCAGAGACAAAACTGGCAGAACCTCCTTGAGGAAATCCAGACTGCTAGCTGACCAGTCCCACCATTTCAGGTTGGCAAGTTGCAGAGTGCCCAAAGCATCCTGAGCTCCATCTAGCATAGAGGGACCATAACCCACAGCCCACCTCTCTCCCCAAGGCCAGCTGTGCTGCTCAGACTGGAGAGACCAGAACTGGGGAGGGTGCAGCAGGGCTTACCCTTTATATCCAGCAGAGAAAAATGGTGGTTGTTGGTGGCTTCAGGTGCCAGTGTGAAGTAGAAACGATGACCGCTCTGAGGTTCATCACGGTCCACAACGCTTATTGTCTGGATCAGCTGCAGGGAAAAGGCAGAGGTGAGAAGCAGTGCTGCCTCTGCAGCTCATTGCAGGGGCACCACATGCAGGGTCTGGCCCAACAGAGCATCACAGGCTTCTGCCACAGCCAGTGATGAGCCCTTGGCCCTGCAGGACACCAGCAAAGGGGGTCCAAGTGTGACATCAGCAGCATGGGAAGACAAATACAGAAGGGGAAGGATGGTCAGGCTGGCATTGCCTAGAGCCCTGCTTGCAGCATAAGACTGCAGCAGGTGCTGATGGGGACCTGGGACAGGGACCTGGGACACCCACTACCTGGCCTGGCTTGGCATCCTCACACACAGCAGCTTCATAGGGGGTGGCGAGCTCAGGTGGGTTGTCATTCACATCCAGGATACGGATACGGAGAGAGGCTCTAGACACCTGTGAGTGATTATCTGAAGCAAAAAAACCACAAACAACAAAAGAGAACTTCAGTAGGAAAAGCAAATCCTCCCTGTGTCTGTTGGTCCAGAGGCCATGGTGGCCCCACAGCTGCTGCCAGCACAGAGGGCCAGGCAGCACAGCATACACCATCCCTTGGGCTCAGCCTCACCACACCCCTCTTCCAGGAAACAAAACCAGCCCCTGGGCTGCCTATCAAGACCTCCTGAAACACTGCTTTTCTACCCTTGGAAAAGATAAGCAGTCCCAAGCAAGTCCCCACAATAAGGGTCAGTCACCACCAATGAGCATCTGTGCTGCAGCCAGACAGCACCAAGAGGGGACAAGCAAATTCAGACACATGAACATCACACCTGGACTTGGATCCTGGCCCTTACACCCCAGCAGCAACATTGAAGCAACTGAGCGGAGCCAGGATGCAAAACAGCTGGTGCCAGCTAAGAGCACAGGGTGATGATGAAACCAGCCAGGAGCACCATCGCCACTCCAGGGCATCTGGGGTGGAATGGTCCTGGCCAAGGCAGGAGGCTGCTGCCCTGGGGATAGCCCTTACACACTGACACCAGGCCTTGTGCTGCCATCAGCAGCTCCAACACGATGTCCCCACCAGCTGCCATCAGGGGCAGAGGGATGGCAGCAGGGGCAGGGGGATGGCAGCAGGGGCAGAGGGATGGCAGCAGGGGCAGGGGGATGGCAGCAGGGGCAGGGGGATGGCAGCCTGCTCCCCTCATGGGGTTGTGTCACAGCTCCGCTCTGCCCCGCAGCACCACAGAAATACACTGAGCCCTCGCTGCAAGATCAGCAATCACTCTGGAGGGCCTAATGTTATCTGAAGCACCTCCTGTGCTTCCAGAAAGGAGAATTCCCTCATACTCCATCTCCTCTGTTTTACCCAGAGGTTGACAGACCTGATGCTTTTCTCCTTGCTCAGGCAGGAGCTCTGCTGCCTGTTTGTCTATAAAATTAATGCTGGCCCCTGCAGATCAGGTGGGGGAGGACCCAAGGGAGAGGAGATTTAGCACTGTTCTATAATTAGCCAGGAACCTAAGCCCCCTCCCCAGAGCTGCCTTCACCCTGTTCTCACGTTATCACTCCCTCTCACCCAGCCCAGCTGCTCTGGTGATTAGATGGTTGCTTTTGGGGGAGGGAGGCAGAAGTCGTGACTAAAAGCCTAAAAGGATGTGTTATTTTAAAAGGCTGGTTGGTGCAAGGGAACAAACTGCAGTTGCTTTCGGGGGGAATGGAAGGAGGAGGCAGCAGGGCAGAAAGCCTGAGGAAAGGGGTAGTGCCTGGTGCCCACCAGGGCCACAAACAAGCAGAAGGAAAAAGGGTTTGATTCCTGCAAGGAGGAGCATCTCACCACCCCCTCCTCTGGATAACTCTCCCTGCCACTCAGTGGTGAAGCAAGCTGGCATTGTCCTGGAGGCACTGCAGAGAGAAAGATGAGGAAAGGCAGGAAGAGAAGGGAGAAAGAGAAGCCTGAGACCCTACCTCTTCCCCTTCCTAACTGCACCCTGGAGGAGCAGCTCCCCCCCAGTACCCTGTAGTGCCTGAACTGGCTGGAGCAGCAGCTGATTCCAGTGCTGCCAAGCTCTCCCCAGGGTCTGTTGGCACAGCACGTGCCATGGAGGTTCTACAGGGCCAGGCTGGGACACCCAGAAGAGCCTGAGCACAGCAGCTTCCCTTAGAGATCACCCTTTGCAGCTTCATCAGAGGGATGTGACCAGCATGTTTAGAACCAGGCATAACCATCAGTCTGTCCTCTTCCACATCATCAGCAGCTGCCAGGAGTGCTTCATTCCATGCACGTGAGCAGGGTTGTCCATGTGTCACAGCTCAGTGCCAGGGACCCGAGCCGACCCCTCTGCCAGAGCCAGGACTAACATCCCGCTCCCCTGAGCACAGCTTGAAGCACAGCTGTCCTTTCCAAATGCCCCTTGTCAGACAAAAGCTCTCCTTTTGCCCCTTCCAAAACTGCTGAGGCCTGATGCTCATGCTCTCTCCTGGCTCAGTGACAGGGTTAAGATTTGACGTCTCTAGGAACATCAAGGTTGAAATGCAACCATTGCCTCATTGTCTGCTCTCCCAGTGAGGCACACATCAGCTTCCTTTTATTTTGGCTGCACTATGATCTGTTTGAAGGTTCCTCAAATGCTTTCACTATCAGCATCGCTCTTCCTTTGAGCCAGTACCTGGATTTATGGGTGGAAAATACGAAAAATGGTTGGATATACTAGGAAAAAAAGTATGTCCAAAGCACCTCTGAAATATGTTTTCTGTAAGTGATGCGGCATAAACTGAATTCATGATAGTGAGCAGTGTGATTAAGATTGTTTGAATCCATTTGCGATGAAAGGGATGATGCTCCTAACACAGACTTCACAACAGCGAGGCCAGAAGCTCTGACCTGTGCTTCCTCTGAATGCAGAGGATCCAGGCATGCGCCCCTGCACATGCTCCAGCAGACAGGAGGAGATGCTCCACGAGATGCTCCATGGGAGTGAAGCACTGCCAGGAAGAACAGCAGACTAGGGGGATGCAGGGAGACAGAGAAATGTGCCCTTGAAGGGCTCTGCCAAACACCTGGCCAGAGGATGGGGAAGAGGTTGCACGTGCCAGGCTGAGACCGACTGGGGAGGAAAAAAAGCATCTTCCTTTGCAGCATCTCTCCTCGGTATTCCAGCTCAGCTGACTGACATGCAAATTAGTTTAATTATTTCTTCTTCTAAAATAAATTATATTTTGCAGTAGCTGCAATATGTTGTGTCAGGCAAAATTACATTCAATATTTTTAAACTAATTGATGTCAGCCTTGAGAAAACCTGATTGACAGCAGCGAGGAAACCAGGCTGCTACCTAAACGCTTTCTTAAATTAAAATTAAACATGCCGTTTTTCTGCATTTCCTCCAGGAGTTGGAATGCTATTAATCTGAAAGACTGAGGAAAGAGACATGGAAAATACACAGAAGCAACGGGAGGTGCTGGAAGCACAGCAAAGGCCTGTTGCCTTTGCCAACATGTGCGGAATTATACCGGAGATGCTGGAGCCTGCAGGGGCTGGGGGACAGTTCTGCCCAGCACTTCCATGCTGCAGCACCTGCACCTTCCTCAATGCAGTGATGGGACAGGCAGTGATGGGCCCTGGCTTTGGAGCAGGAGAAAGCCACAGTCCTGCTTCAATCTTCAGCCACATCCCATTTTTCTTAATTTGATTAGCCATAACATGAACAGTACAATATTCTTGTTGTAAACATTCAAAGTGCCAACTATTTGCCCTCTCCCCAGGTTCCAGAGAGCAGAGTGCCTGCTGGACTGACACTGAGCAGCTCCAGCAAGTGCTCTCAGATGCTGGAAGCTTTGCAGCACACACTCTGATGGGAAGGGCTCACCAAGATGCTTGGCTACCCCTGCAGCAGCAGGAAGGGAGGTGATCCGTGGTTTCTGTGGCACCAGGATCCAGTCCTCACCCCACTAGACCCTCACACAAACTCACAATAAAGCACTTTGCATTCTTACATCCAAGCATCTACTGTGAGTCTCCAAATCCAACCAGGGCTGAAGCACATAATGCCCTTGTGCACACACAGCCATGCAGCAGCCTCCCACTCAGAAAGCTGCTCCCCCAAGGTGAAGCACAGTCTGAGGAAAGCCCAGAGGATTGTGGGCTGCTCTTTATGGCTGCAGCACCTCAAGAAACAGGACTCACAGATGTGATTAGAAGACCAGGATGGGCCACTCTGCTTTCCAGCACTCCCGTCACAGCCGTGAAGCACAGGGTGGGTTTGTAGCAGCCAGCACAGCTGCAAAGCTGAGCACTGATGGCAAGGACAATGCAGGGCCATGCCAGGGTAGGGCTCATCACACACAGGTAGCTGCCTCAGAAGCTGGAGATGAAAACGTGGCTCCCAGCTGAGAGGAAGCAAAGTGGAAGCAGCAGTTAAGCCAAGCAACATATAAATGGCTCTCACCTCTCCTGAGTCCTGCCCAAACTCGGCAGCATGAGAGTCATTAAATCGCATCCAAACACAATGCCCTGATTAAAGCCAGACTCCAGCAGGAAGATTTATCATCTCAATTACCAGCAGTGGACACAGCAGTCAAGGCCTCATCATTTTACATGAGCAAAGAGGAAAACAGGAAGAGAATCACTAATATTAGCCTAAGGAAGGTAAACAGCTTGTGAGTAAGATGAAGATTTATCTCTGGAAACACTTGGCCTGGTCCCAGGCCAGATTTGCTGAACAGCCCCAATGCTTCCTGCTGGCTGCAAGGACAGGTATTCTGCTGGTGCCCTGGGAAGTGCCCATTCCACGGGCACAGTCAGGTCCCCGCTCCTCCCGGCAGCCCCGGGCAGTGCCAGGTGCCTCCTGCAGCTCCTCACACCCGCTGCAAGGTGTCACCTGCACCCCAGCACCGCTGCTGCCACCGTGCCACATCCCAGGGGGGCTTCCAGAGACAGGGACAGCTCGAGGAGGCTGCAGGGAGGCAACACCTTGGTGCAGAGGGCTGCCTGGGAGGGAATGGGAGCCAAACAGGGATCTCAGCACGGGGGCTCCAGCCCCCCATCCCAACACTGCCCGTCCCGCTGTGCCAGGCACGGCCTGACAGCTGCTGCACGGCCCTGCCAAACCCCTCCATCACTCGGAAGGCTGCACCTTTACAACTGCCCTTTCCACCAGAGGATTCAGGCATAAATTGTACTTTAAATTCATTATCAGTCATTAATATTTCATTATTACAAAACGTTAAGGGTAATGTCACTGGGAAGAATATCTGGGCAGTTAAAATGGATGAGTCAGAGCTCACCATGGGAGAAGTCAGAGCTCTGAAGAGTCTCCCTGGCCTTTGAAGCGATCCAGCCTGACAGGCTTCCCTGCCGGAAGGGAGCAGCAGCATTTACTGACTTGTTCTGAAATCCTAGCTGCTGCATGTAAATATTGTCCTTCTGATTCTTGTCACCTCATGTTTCCCCTGGAAGCTGCGTTGTGCTGCAACACTGTGATTCCTCCTCCCCAGCCTCCCCAGACGTGAATGGCATCTTCCTGCTCAAGAAGCAACAGACATGCAAAGACCAGAACTCCTGCGGGGTCTCTCTCTGGGAGTGAAGCTCCAGCCCACAGACAGACAAGCCTTGGCACAGGTCTGCAGATGTCAGAAGGTGCTTTGCAGCCAAGGCAGCTCCCTGGCACCAGCTGCTGTGGGGCAGCAGAGCACAGCAGGTCCCAGGCTGCCCTGGTGACTTGTGCATCCAAAATCTAGAAAACATTGAAGAATACAGCAATGCCTTTCTGCTTCCCAGCACAGTGCCTGGAATTGAAGCCCCTTCCTTCATCTTCAGGCTCAGAAAAAAAGAGGAACATAGACCCCCCCCTGTGGCCCACAGGGCCAGATCCACCATCGCCAACCAGCACTGAGCCCATGAGCCCAAGCACTATAAAAACACATGGAGGGCAGCAGGATGGCCAGGGCAGCTTCCTACCCACAGTGGAACACCTGCAGGGAAGCAAAACCTGCCCTTTGCTGCTATTATTTTCTTTTCATTCCTCAAGAGGAGTTTATTCAGAGCTCCTTTGAGCAACAGGACCCAGATTAGCTTTTTTCTTTCTTAACTGGAGAAGAAAAGACAAACAGAACTTGTGCTGCAAGCAGCCAAGCCATCAGGTGTAGGG